GTGTGTGTGTGTGTGTGTGTGTGTGTGTGTGTGTGTGAGAGAGAGAGAGAGAGAGAGAGAGAGAGAGAGAGAGAGAGAGAAGTGCTGAATCGTGGGTTCTAAGCTGAGTAACAAGTAAAGGAAGGAGAGAGCTGAATGGTTGGGAGGATGCATTAAGTTCACCACACTGGGAGTTTTAATGGGGCTCAGAGATTTATTTATCTTATTGGAGTAATTGGAAAACCAAGCTGGAGAGAAGCTTCTGGTAAGAAAATAGGGATGATTGATGATGAGCAGGTCAGATGTGAGGATGGATAGCTACCACAGAGTAGAGGTGGGGCCACTGAGTACCCTTATGTGGATTGTACAGCCCTGTGTTGAGAAGTGGAGTGAACAAAGAGGCCAAGGTCATGCACATGGATGTGGAAGCCACCCATACACATGGCAGGACACTTTTTGCATCACTGGGAATGATGGCTTCAGTGAATAAGAAAGTAGAGAGATATGGGGGTTGGGGTAAAGTCAAATGATTGAAACCTTAAGGAAGCAGGACTGTGGACAATTGTGAAGGGGAGGCATGGTCTGGCCCTTTAGAGAACAGGTCTTCCCAAGAAGGTCTGTGTTTCAATCAGGGAAAGGTGAAAAAGCAACTTTCTTTATCTTTGAAAACTTTATTTTTTCCTGTGGTCATCTCACAGTTTACATTTTTAAAACTCTTCTAGAGTTAATTTTGATAAATTATATTTTTCTTAAAACAAAGTATTCAATTTATCCAGATTTTCAAGCATATTTGCATAAAGTTGAACAAAGTAGTCTTTTGTGAACCTTTAAATTTTCCCCTAATTTCTTATTTTATATATTTTTGCTTTCTTGATTATGTTACCTTTAAATTTTTTTTCAAAAAAAAGCTCTTAGACTTATTTTTTAGTTCTACCATTTTTGTTGATGCTCCTAATTCGTTAATTTCTGCTTTTATCTTAATTAATTCCTTCTCCTGCTTTCTTTAGGGATATATTTGTTGCTCTTTTTCTAACAAGGTCAAGATTTAGACTTTAGATATAGATATGTACTGTTATAGATATACCCCCATAATTTCAAATGCATGATATTTTCATTATTATTTTGTAGATATTCTGAAATTTTGGTTTTGAGTTTTCTTTGATGTAGAGTTCCTAAATTTGAAGATAGAGTGTGAGAGTTTAAAAGCTTCCAGGTGTAAGGGTCTTTAGTTTCTGATTTTGTTATTTATTTTTAGTTTGATTTCATTGTGATCAGATCAGAGATCAGTGTTGTCTGTACTACCTTGTATTTTTTAAATAGTTGAGTTTTTCTTTGTGGCTTAAAATAGGGTCACTATTTGTGAATGTTTTATAAGTACTAGATGGGAATGCATATCCTGTTTTCAGCCTACTGGTTTTTTTGTTTGTTCGTTTTTAAAGATTTTTATTGGGGAATTGGGGGAAAGGGAACAGACAAGTTGCTTTCCTTTTGTTCTTCAGTCTAGTTGTGGAGGATGTTGCTTCACTGGCCCAAGTTGGCACCATCATTGCGCTCTTCCCTGGCGAGGCAGATCAGTCGCCGGCTTCTGGATGGCCACTCACTGCGGCTGCTGGCCGCTCAAGCTGGCTGCTGGCTACACACGGTAGCCCATGGCAACCCACTGCCGCAGGGGCTGCAGCCTACGCCGTCGCCAGTGACTCACGGCAGCCCAGCTCCAGGTTGAGCTGTTGTTCAGCATCTTAGCTGTAGAGAGCAGTGTCACTGGCCCTCATATGTGGGATCCGAACTGGGGCCCTCTGGCGTCCCAAGCCAGCTCTCAACCAACGCGTCACTCGGCCGGCCCTCAGCCTACTGGTTTTGATATCAGTAGGTCTTCGGTATCCTTAGATGTATTTTGACCTGATGTAATCTGAAAGAATTAAATAAAAATCTATTACTATTATTGTTTTTTTATTTACCCTTCTTTTCTGGAGTCCTGCTTTATAACTGATGATGTTATGTTAGTTGTACCTAAATATCCCTCATATTCTTATAAATTGCCCCTTTTCGTTATAAAATGACTTCCCTTGTCTCATTTAATGTTGTTGACTTTTGCCCTTTTATTTTCATCTTTTCTGAAGCCTTCAGTTTAAATAAATCCCTTGAATAGAGCACCAAGTTTTGCTTTGTGATTCAATCTGCAGTTCTTTTTTCTTGGAATAGATGAGTTTAGCCATATTCATGTGACAGTTATATTATTTTATGGTATAGTTTCATAGCCTTTTTAGTCCTTCATTACTGTGCTTTTTGCTTGCTCTGCTGTGTTTCTTTTAAACATTTTGAAGGTTTGTATTTTTATTCAAGCGGTTATTTTCATAACTATAACTTCATTGTAATACTCTCAGTCCTCTATTTCTTCAGACTGTTTCTGTTGATTCCTTGATCTGAACAATGATAGCATAGTACTTTTTCTCTTTTTTCTTTACCCCTTCTCCTTTGCTGCACCCAATGTCAAATGATGTTTTCAGTGTGTGCCTTTTTTCATTGAATACATTTATACATATTTCTATTTCTTGATTTTTAAATCAGATTTAAATGAGATATTTTGGCTATAATGGATGAGGAAATTTGTGTTCTTAAACACCCCTTTCTTCTCTTTTCCTTCTAATCCAAATTTGTGTTCATTATACCACTTCCACATTCCTGGATTTATAAAATCATACGTCCTGCTCTGTAACCATAATTCCCACATTTATCTTCATCCTACTCCTCTCCAGTTAAAGAGATTCAGAATTCCTACTAGCTATTCCACCAAAGTGTTTTCTCCCCACTTACTTTGTAGGAGATCACATCTTTTGATCTCATCTTTTGAAGTTCCTGCTTTAGCAGTTTCTTCAAGAAGAATTTATGGAAATGATATTCTCTGAGTTTTTCATGTTCAAAAATCTTTGTTGCCTTTATCTTGGAAAACAGTTTGAGTATAAAATTCTTGGGTGATACTTTATGTCTTGAGTAATGTGTATGTTTTGCTTCATTGTCTTCTAGCATTGAATGTTGCTGTAATAAAGTCTGAAACCAGCTTGATTCTGTTTTCCTTATAAGTTATTTAATTGAAGTTTATGAAATCCATACACTTCACTGTTACACATGTTGGAATTATCATTCTGGGCTGAGATTTCCTGGGACACA